AAAAAGGTCACAACCCCGGCGTAAATAATTTTGTACCGCAAATAATTGTGTACAGGGCATACAATTTTGTATTTTATAATTATAGTTTATTGGTCATGTTTTTATGCCTCTGCAATGATACATGTAGTGACAAGGGGTATGTAGTGTGTATTACAAAGGTTACCTCTGTCCGTGCGTGTGTGTGTGTGTATTCGAAAACCTTGTCCAGCCCATAACCTTTTCATGCATTTAGAGATTTTGAAACAATATGACACTTATGTTAAATATGACGAAACGATGTGTCATGCACAATCTCTAAGCCAAGGAGAGGTCAAAGGACAGAAGAAATTCTTATCCGGCCCATAATGGAATTTTAAAACTATTTGGTACAAATGTTCAAAATTATGAGATGGTGCGCCATGCGCAGAACATAGACCCCTAAATTCAAGCTCAATGTCACGCTGAGACGTCAAACTTCAGCAATTAGAAAATCTTGTCCGGCTTGTAAATCTGTCATGCAAATAACTTGGCACAAAAAAGTGTGACATTGCCAATATACCAAGACCCCTAGCTCCAAGGTCAACTCAGAGGTCAGCACAAATTGCACAAATGTGTAGCATGATTAGATAGTGTGTCAAACGCATGACCAAAACCACTAGCTTTAAGGTCAAGGTCACACTAATAGGTCAAAAACAGTCAACAGTTAAAAAGCCTTGCCCGGTCAACATAAAGCGGAGACATTCGTGTCTGTCAAAGACATTTTAAGTGTTCATAGTTTTGACCACTTTAGATTAATTATTGTCATCATGTTGTGTTATATATTTCACTCGTGGCAAATATACCTTTTGGTGCTCACTCTGTGAAATATATTCCGATCTTACACTGAATTAAACAAATATCCTTTATATTTATAAACACAATGCTTTCAATAATGGATTTGCGCAGTATTACTTATTCGTCGTAGGATATGTTACGCAAAACAGTATCCCTTGTGTTTTACGCCGACAACTAGCCACAGACAGCGGCTAATGTCTGCTTATTTTAAAAAGGTCACAACCCCGGCGTAAATAATTTTGTACCGCAAATAATTGTGTACAGGGCATACAATTTTGTATTTTATAATTATAGTTTATTGGTCATGTTTTTATGCCTCTGCAATGATACATGTAGTGACAAGGGGTATGTAGTGTGTATTACAAAGGTTACCTCTGTCCGTGCGTGTGTGTGTGTGTATTCGAAAACCTTGTCCAGTCCATAACCTTTTCATGCATTTAGAGATTTTGAAACAATATGGACACTTATGTTAAATATGACGAAACGATTGTGTCATGCACAATCTCTAAGCCAAGGAGAGGTCAAAGGACAGAAGAAATTCTTATCCGGCCCATAATGGAATTTTAAAACTATTTGGTACAAATGTTCAAAATTATGAGATGGTGCGCCATGCGCAGAACATAGACCCCTAAATTCAAGCTCAATGTCACGCTGAGACGTCAAACTTCAGCAATTAGAAAATCTTGTCCGGCTTGTAAATCTGTCATGCAAATAACTTGGCACAAAAAAGTGTGACATGGCCAATATACCCAGACCCCTAGCTCCAAGGTCAACTCAGAGGTCAGCACATATTGCACAAATGTGTAGCATGATTAGATAGTGGTGTCAAACGCATGACCAAAACACTAGCTTTAAGGTCAAGGTCACACTAATAGGTCAAAAAAAAAGTCAACAGTTAGAAAGCCTTTCCAGTCAATATATAGCGGAGACATTCGTGTCTGTCAAAGACATTTTAAGTGTTCATAGTTTTGACCACTTTAGATTAATTATTTTCATCATGTTGTGTTCTGGTTACTGTAAAGTACTTAAGATCTAAGATAGCAGATCAGTTTTAATGTATAAGAGGCCTTATGTGAACCTCATTTCTGAGAAGCATTCATTTTAGTAAGCAAACAGAGTTTCAGAGGGTAAGGGTTTTAAGTCCCACTAGGGGCAAGTTATTATTTCTTCAAGTTTTTGCTTTTTTCCTTCTCTTTGTGGGATCAGAACATGTTTTTTTGTTTTCTATTTTTTTCATTATGTTTTCTTGAAAATCCTTTATTAAGAAATATTTGCAGTTTTGTTTAAATACTTTTAAAAAGTGAAATGAGTGAAAATAGGGTATGCTAGCTTTACTACTTAAAGATCCTGTTATGTTATAATTGAGGTTGTTTACCACACTTAACTGAAATTTTATATATGATTGTTTATAATTATGCTAATAAAACAATTCTCAAACATCGGAGAATATGTAAAATATGTACTGCAAATATTTGTGCACATTTATATGTAATCATTTAGATATATGCATTTATTTTCTAAATGAAAAAAAAATGGACAAAGACTTTTTTAGAAAATAAATTTTAATGACCTCCTTTATTTTGTGCAGGAATGTTTAAATTCGTAATATCTTTATAAATAATGCTTTTGGAACTTACATATTGATAACTCTAATTTGAGCATTCATATTTTATGATATAAAACCATAAAAAATTGTGTTACAGGATCTTTAAATGTTTCAAAAACTCCCCTTCTTTTTTCAGAATAAAAAAATTATTGCAGATCTATGAAGATCTAAATTATTGAAAATATAAAAATACTCAATTGGTAACATTAGACGGCAAAATTAGTCAAGTTTTCTGAATCCAGCCTTTTGTTCTTTTCTTCATGCAAAAATAACAGATTCCTGATTTAATTAACCATGGTACGTTTTCTTTGGTTTAATTTGTTATCATTTCAAAACTATGGTCAATTCTAACCATATCTTAAAAAAGTAAGATATTGAAGATAAAAGAAGGAAATATATTCTTTAATTGTTGAAAACATATAAAATTGTTGTTGTTGTTGTTGTTGTTGTTGTTTAATTAATGTTATAATACTTGTAAACGTCGATATTTTTGAAATAAGAATCCTTTGATATTTATTGGATCTATTAGTATAAATGTGTGTCAAGAATATATTAAAATTTAATTTTGATGACTCCTGAAAAACGTATAAATTCAGAACTTTATTGGTCATATATCAAGTTTTACTGTACTTGAATGTACAGTATGGAATTTAAATTGCTAGCACGCGTGTGCAATAAATTCTATAGAAATAAGATCTTGAAGGTCCTTTGCGAGAGCATAATAAATTCCATAAAATTTTATATTAATTATGGCAAATAAGTTAACTAACACTTTAATACATAATACCTTAAAATATTATGTTCACATAGATCTACCTAGCTTAATAAGAAAGTCTGGGAAATTTCTTCCAGAATCTTGTTGTCTGCAACAACATAATGTATATATAATTATACACTAACATATGCTAATCTATTTATAGATATTACACGCGCTTACTATATGTGCATATTACTTGATAATGTTACATAGTCCTACATGTAAAAAGTTTAAACATGAGTGAAAAAAAACGAAAAGACGCTGCAAGAAATTGATAATTTCAACAATTCTTGGAAACGTTTTTTGGAGTTAGTGCCTTTATTAATATTGACATTTGTAGCAATAGTTGCATTTGAAGGAGACTTCCGGTTCCGGTTATGGTGGCAACACATGGTTTTCAAAGTCGATTAAAAAAATTGGCATTTCTACCCAAACCCCCTCTTCCCACATTATTGTACCCAGTCCCTCAACTCAACTAGAAATGGTGGTATACTAAGGAAACATTCTGAATTGAAATTCTGCATATTTTAAAGACTTTTTTGAGAACTGAAATCCGACCAAGATGCCCTTCAATAAACCTTCACAAAACTCAAGAAATAAACAGAGAGATACTGATAATATGTCTGTATTAAGTGATTCAGAGCATAATTATAGTCAAAGGGCAAGCTGTGCAGCATGTCATGAATTGCTTGAAAATGATGATGATGGAGTTCAGTGTGACTTGTGTGATAAATGGTTTTGTATTGATGAAAGGTGTTCTGGAATGACCGAATCATTTCATGACCAATTGCATGATTTAGGACTTGTTGAAAATTTCCTTTGGTATTGTACAGGCTGTAGAGAAGCTATTCCAAGCGTGAAGAAAGTACTCAGTGCTATCACAAAGTTAACTGTCAAAAATGAAAAATTGGAGTCGCGAGTAAACGCATTAGAGGAGAAAATGGAAACTGTAAGTAACTTACATTTAGATTACCGCATGGATGAAGCAGTGAGAGATTACCATGAACGTGATAAAAGGAAAGGTAATTTGATTGTATATAATCTATCTGAACCATCTGGAGAAAATACTCAGGAAAAACGTGATGATGATAAATTGAAAGTTCAAGAAATGTGTGTTACATTAAATATTGAAAATGCTAATGTTGAAAATGTTGAGCGTTTAGGCAGGGAGCGTGAGAACCTAGAGGAATATCCTCGGCCATTGAAGGTATCATTTACAAATGATAGGGCTAAGTTGAATATTTTAAAAAACAGTGCAAAACTCAAGGAAAAAACTAACTTTGCAAAGGTGACTGTAACACCAGATTATACTTTCAGACAAAGACAGATGAATAAAGAACTGAAACAAGAAGTAGCAAGAAGAAGAGTTATGGACAGGTCGTTCACATACAAGAAAATGAAAGCTGAATTAGCAAGTAAAGTAGCTTATAATTCTGGTCCTAGATTTCAGGAACCTGATGATGTTGAAATTTTGTCACCGTCTCAGCGGGAAAGTAGAATTCCAAGATTTAGCCAAAGATTTGCAAACAATAGAATAATAACTGCAAGTCCTAAGAAAAATGAACAGCTAGGTAGCTCGCAGATTCAAACTAGGGGTAAAACAAATTCAAAAGGTGCACAAGGATACAGTGCTTCTAAAAATGGCCCCCCTTTAGGAAAGAGCTTGGGTGGGAAGCCGCCCAGGCTGTAGACTGTGAAATAAATGACACTATAGTTAAAAGTTACAGTTCTGTTAATGTTTCCAGTTCATTAAGTTTAGAAGTTCCGTGTTTTGAAACCTCAAGGAATGAGGATGTACATAGCACTCCTGTTGAAGTTGATTGTATGAACAGTAAGTCAAATGTAGATTTTGTTAATGTTGATTCTATTGAAATATTTCGTGAAAGTGACTCTGAATCTACTGAATTGATTTTTGAAAGTAGTAGCACTGAAATTTATAGTGATAGTGACATTGAAGAATCTAGTTCTAGTCAATCTGCTAATACTAGTAGTACTGATATTTATAATGAAAGTGACAGAGACTATGTCGGTAGTGATGTAAATTCCGTATCTAGTCAATCAAGTGCAAGTAGTGATCATTCTAGTCAAAACACTAGTATAAACTCTGTTGAAAATTCAATTTCAATTGAAAATCAGAATGGCTTGAAATGTCTTTACACAAATGCAGACTCTATATCAAATAAATGGTCAGAACTTGAAGCATTAGTATATTTACATCAACCTGATATTGTAGGATTGACAGAAGCTTTTAAAAAGAATCTAGAGAATCCGAACCTTTCAAGTTATGTTTTACAAGGATATCATGTATTCTGTAATCCAAAATTTCAAAATGTTGCAAGTAGAGGAACTTTGTTGTTTGTGAGAGACTACTTAGAAGTAACTGAATATAAAAAACTGAACGAGAATTCTGCTAAAGAGGCTATTTGGTGTGAAATTAAAATTAACAATTTAGAGAAGCTTCTCGTAGGATTAGTGTATAGATCTCCTAACTCGAGTGCGGAAAATAATGTAGCTATAAATGAAATGATTAGTGCATTGAATAATGAAACACAATCGAGAGTAGTTGTTATGGGTGATTTCAACTATCGTGATATAGACTGGAAGCATTGGATTTCAAGTGCGCCTGAAAATCATGTAAGTCATGAATTTATAGAAGCTGTACGTGATAGTTATCTTCATCAAAACATAGAATTTTATACAAGATACAGAAACGGCCAAAGACCAAGTACTTTAGATCTTGTTTTCTCATCAGAAGAACTTTTAGTGAACAATATTGAACACTTCAGTCCCCTGGGTAAAAGTGACCATATAGTGATTACCTTTGGTATTGACTGTAATTCCAGCAATGAGGCATACATGAAAGAGTCATTTACTTATGATCGAGGAAACTATGATGAAATGAAAACTGACTTGAGTAATGTTGATTGGATAAGTGAATTTCAAGGTAAAGAAGTGAATGAAAATTGGATATTTTTCAAAGATAAAATAACAGAATCAATGAAAAAACATATTCCTGTTAAGAAAATCAAATCATCAAATAGGGGTTATAAACCAATTTGGATGACTAGAGAAGCTCTTAAAGCGGTGAAAAAGAAACATAGGGCATGGAACAAATATAGACAAACAAATGAACATGTTCACTTTCAATATTTTTGTCGTCAACGTAATATAGCTACCCGTGAATGTCGTAAAGCCAGAAATAACTTTGAAACAAAAATTGCAGAGGATACAAATCCGAAAGCATTTTACAAATATGTGAATTCTCGCAAAAAAGTCCAAAATGGAATAGCAGACTTAAAGAGAGACGATGGTTCGATTACGGAAAATGACTTGGAAAAAACTGAAGAACTAAATAGGTTTTTCAAGTCTGTATTTACTATTGAAGATTTGAACAATATTCCATATATAAATGATAGAAGTTCTGGTAAAAGTATCTTGGAAGTACAGTTCAATGAGCAAATTACCATGAAATTACTTGAAAATCTTAACGTAACTAAATCATGTGGACCTGATTTCTTACACCCTAGAGTCCTGAAAGAAGTTAAGAATGCAATATGTTTACCATTGACTCTTTTATTTCATCAATCTTTTGAAGAAGAAGAAACACCGATTGACTGGAAAACGGCAAATGTGAAAGCGTTGTTTAAGAAAGGGAGAGAAACCAGGCAGGAAACTATCGACCAGTAAGTTTGACTTGTGTCCCCTGTAAGCTTATGGAAAAGGTGGTAAGGGATCAATTAGTGAAACATATGACTGAAAACAATCTATTTTCAAATTCACAATATGGATTCAGAACACTGAGATCTTGTGCTATACAATTACTGGAAGTTATGGAAAAATGGACGGAATGGATAGACGATAGTCAAAATTTTGATTGTATTTATTATGATTTTCAAAAGGCGTTTGACACTGTTCCATATGTTAGATTATTGAAGAAACTTGAAAGTTATGGAATTAATGGTAAATTATTAAAATGGATTGATGCTTTTCTCCGGGATAGAAGACAAAGGGTTGTAATTGGTAGTGAAAAATCTCAATGGACTGAAGTCACCAGTGGTATTCCACAGGGAAGTGTCTTAGGACCTACACTATTTTTGATTTACATTAACGACATAGAAGATGCCATTGAAGGAACATTGCGTTTATTTGCTGATGATACAAAACTGTACAATTTAGCGAATGATGATGCAGATATAGAGAAAATTCAATCTGACAATGACAAATTAAGTATATGGAGTGAAAAGTGGTTACTTAAGTTTAATGCAAACAAGTGCACTACATTACACTACGGAAATCATAATGTCAATAATACCTACCATCTTAAAGTAAACAACACCAGAAATGAAATTTCAAACAGTGAATCTGTAAAAGACCTTGGAGTTACTTTTGATGTGAATATGAAATTTAGACAGCAAATAAATGATTGCATCAATAAAGGAAATAAAATTACAGGACTAATGAGAAGAACATTTCTGCATTTCACAGTGAAATCTTTCGGGAAATTATTTAAAACCCTAGTTAGGCCTCATCTAGAATATGGAAACATTATTTGGAATCCTCGTTTTAAGAAAGACATCAATGCAATTGAATCAGTACAAAGACGTGCAACAAAACTAGTTGGTCAACTAAGAAATCTGTCATATGAACAACGACTTAAAACACTGAAATTGCCTTCACTAGCATATCGTCGATTTAGAGGTGACATGATTGAAGTTTTTAAATTGTTACATCATAAGGAGGATATTAACTATGAAGTGTTTTTTGAATTAAATAACAATGCAAATACAAGAGGTCATGGGTATAAACTGAAAGTGAAATCATGTAGAACTGAGATTAGAAAGCATTTCTTTTCTCTACGGGTTATCTCGGACTGGAACAATTTACCAGAAGTGGTTGTGAATGCTCCTTCACTTAATAGCTTTAAAAACAGGTTGGACAAATTCATGGGAGAAACACAGTATACCACCATACCGGATCAGAACTGGGTACAAAACCATGGGGGGGTTATAGAAGACGATGATGACGTCTTGCGACCTCAACTCCAGTAAAGTAAAGTAAAGATATATTCTCAAAATGGCTAGCACGGACGGTATTGATTGACATCTGTGCGGTATGGAAATATTATTTATTTGTTTTTTTATTATCTTTGCCTTATTTGCTTTGAAGCTAGCTATACTGTATCTATGTTTTTTTATTTTTATTTTACAATGTTCAAAGCTGGAGGTCATCCACAGTAGTGTATGGAACGCCGAAAGAATCTATAATAATAGATCTACTGAGTAGAGTAATGTAGAATAATTTGAATATTCCTTCCATTGAAAATAATAATTTTCAATATTTCAGTATGCATGCGCTTCAGCAAGCAACACCAAGTACATGTAGATCTAAAGCGACACATATATTTATATATATTTAAGTATTGTTTACTTTCACACAACGTCAGTTAAATGAAGGAAACTTTAAAGTTCACAGACGCTTGGGGTTCAAATCATGCCCCAAGGGATACGCCCTTGTAAACACTTTTTAAATATTTAATTAAAGAGAGAGAAAAAGAATCCCTAAAGAAAGCCCAACACGGCAAAATTGTAAAATGTTGCAAACCAGTCTATAATCGTTGTAAAATATGCCCCATTCGTGTTCAAATATTAAATTTTTTTTTGATAAAGTGTTTACAAGGGTGTATCACGTGGGGCGGGGGTGGGGGATTGGTAAGTGGTGTGGGGTTGATCAGCGTCAAGTTAAAATAGGAAGTTAAATAAATAAAACTTTTGTCTGAAATTGTATTCGGTTTATGGATAAGTTTGGTTTTATTCACTTTCTTTCTGAAATAAATGAAATAAAATTTGTTTGTCACAAAAAGACATTTTTTTCAATTTAAATAGTTTTCTTTTGCGTAGTTACAAACTCATAACAGCGGTTACGTCCCGCTACTTTAATCACTACCACCACTGAAACCCACGCGACGATAGTTGTATCATGTGACAACAAGAACAGGTTGAACCTTGTGATGCTCCTGTGTCCCCACACAGGAAAGTATAATAATGAACAAAGGGCAAAAACTCCAAAATACGGCAGGGCAGAATTATGTTGTTTTTTTTGCACTGCACTTCTATTCAATGATATCTATCTGTCTATAAAGTTTCGTGATGATATCATTTATAGTTTCAGAGTTATGTCCCGGGTAAAATTCAAAGTGTAAAAATGAACAAAGGGCAATAACTCCAAAAATAAGGCAAAGCAGAGTTATGATTCTTTAGCCCAATGAGACCTATCTACCTACAAAGTTTCATGTTGATATCTCTTACAATCTAAGAGTAATCTCCCGGACAAAGTTCAAAGTGTCAAAATGAACAAAGGGCAATAACTCCAAAATATTGCAAGACAGAGTTACGGTTCTTGTGCACTGTAAACCTACTCAATGAGATCTAGCTATCTGCAAAGTTTCATGTTGATAGGTCTAGTTTTAGAGTTATGTCCCGGACAAATTTCAAAGTATAGAAATAAACAACGGGCAGTACCTCAATAACGGTTCTTGTAAATTGCACACCTTCTCAATGAGATGTTGATACCTCTTGTTGTTTCGTCCCGGACAAGAAAAGCGGACGGACAGACTGACGGACAGACAAGGCGGTGACTATATGCTCACTGAAATTTTTCGGGGAGCATAAAAACATGGCGGCCAGTTTCAGTACGCCAAGGATCCATATCCAACTGGCGGATTTACAAATACATCCTTACCAGATAAAATATGTTCAAAACACTCAATTTGTTAACATTTTAAAACAAGTGCCAGATCAAAATCTTTTGCGCAATTTGTTCAATAACTGTCTAACTTCAGTCTTTGTTTACTATACATACGGTGTCACTATGAATTTGAAAATATCTAAGTTATATTTACAAAATAATGTTTAAACGTATATTTTTTACATTCTTGTATATTAATCAGAACAATTTAATGATGATATAAAGTTTTCTAATTTAAAATTAAAAGCGAAAAAAATATATTCGGCTCTCTGACGTCACGACCGAATTTACTTGGGGAAGAAACTGCTGTGGGGAGTTTGGCGTAGTTATAGTCTTCGGATAAGTACCTCGAACACAATAGTATGAATACACAGAAAGGATGCGATATTTCGGTCTAACCTACGCTAAGAAACTAAACATGTAAACAAATAGTAATCTTATCCTGGGAGTTGTCATGACAAGTTTATTTCCAAATATGTAGTAAAAGTCCACCTAAAATATGTGAATACATAGGTACAAAAGAAAATTTATATATATATTATTATGGCTGTAGAAACCGAAAGTACAAAAACCAATCTGCTGACATTTAGTCGGATTTGTTTAAATTGAACATCAGTGGGCATATTTAAATTACAAATTGTTGTCAGACATATTTTCAAGCTTAAGAGTACCGGAACAGACATAAGATGTCAAATATATACATTCGTTTTACATTTTCTCTGTTTCTGTTCACATCTGAAACCATGTGGTAGACCATATTGTTTCCGAGGTTATTATAGATAATAGCCGAGGCAGTTCCGAATAGCGTTGTTATAGTATCCGCCATTTTGTAGTCACGTGTCGTTTTCTATAATCACGTGAAGTTTGTGAAGGCAGTAATTTGATTGGCTACGCTCAAGTTCAAATAGAACATGCTCGTTGATTAGCTCATTTTTTTCTGGGGTTAACATGCCCCTGAACGTGCTTTTTATGAATTTTTATGCAAATTTAGAATTTGATACAGGTATTTTCATTATTACTTTCAGACTTTAACGATGGCATCAAGTCAGCACAGACCTGTAGTATTTGCAACTTTCCGATGAACAAATTGTCACAGTATTGCAGAAAATGCAGATTGTATGTTTGTTTGCATTGTGAATATATTTATGAGAAAATAAGCGCGTGTAAGGATCATCAAGAATTCGCCAGCGAAAGCGCTAGCACGGACAGCGGATCAGATGAGATGAAAACATTAACAGTACAATTAGAAGAAGACAGACATGAAGATTTTGTAAAAATACTACATAATATCAAAACAATACAAATAGTTCCCCATATCAAACTTGTGTCTTTCACAAAGATAAGAAAGAAGTAGTTTTATGTTTGTATAACAGAAATTATGGTGGTAAATTTTTAGAGACATTATGCGTCAAACGAACGGACGATTTAAAGCCGGACTACTTTCTTCTAGCAAGTGGTTTGGTGTATTATCCATTTAAAGTTTGTCTTACGGCTCGCTCGACATCCGGATTTTCACTATTCATTCATGAGGAAAATATATTGCATTTTTCCCCTCTTTATACTCCCATTCTGGAAAGGCTGAAAAAAATCTTTAAAATGATTTCCTGTCAAAAAGTAACTTACAAGTTGCACAAAGACACAACGAAATCAATTAAATCTATGGCGGTTGATGAAACAATTTGTAGAAAAGTACTTTTCACCGAATTCAATAATGGGATTGCATTGCTCATGCTTAAAGACAGTACTAATTTTGGACTTGTACGCACAATATCTATTACTTTCTACTCACCGGAAGGGGTAGAAACGCATAAATGTTTTTTGAAAAAATCGAGCGAAGGAAAACTTGCCTTACAGTCACCAGTGTGTATGACAGGTACTTTTGACAACACTTTAGTCATCTGCGAATCAAACGAAGAGAGAAATTGTGCCATTGAAGTTGATACTGACGGAAATATAATCAAAGAAGTTGACTTAACAAAACAACATGGAAATATCTATGTCGCCGGATATCTAAAAATAGTACAAATATCAGAACGAGGTAACCTGGTAAGAGAGTGCTTGTCTCTGAAGAAAGATTCAAAATACAAATCTATAGTTGACATAATGTATTCGGAAAAGAATAAACAACTTTATGTTGTATTTGAGAAAAAGGAGATAAAATACTATGGGATTTATGTAGAGAAACAATTCTCTTTCGTGGCGTTCAATTTATTCCAATGATTCGACAATGTAAATTTGCGGTAACAATTATGTGCACTTGCGGTAACAACGGTCTGGACAAGTTGCACTTATGGTATCAACCAAATGGACCTGTAGATGCACTTATGGTATCAACCAAATGGACCTGTAAACTCGCAATTATCAAATTGTGAACCTGCAGTTATCATCGCATGAACTTTCACAAATAATCTTAGTTATTTATAGTAACAATAACATTAAGAGTGCGTGTGTGCGTGCGTGTAAAATTAAATTCTGATGCATTCGCATTGATTACGTTCACTTTTGCTTTCTGAACTCTTTTTATGAATTATTTGTTTTGTTTTCTTTTTGTATACAAAAAATACTTGTTTGAAAAAGCTGTTTACAGGCAGCAACGTTGCCTTTATGTTTTAATCTATAGATGTTTTTTTTTATCTTATTAAATTATTTTTTATTGCTCATTACATATGTTATCATTTGCCCCTTCTTCATGTGAGTATAGGATCAGCCTAGTTTACATGAGGCTAGTGGTTCTATAATATCTCCCGGATATGCCTGAAATAATGTACCCTAGGTCTTCGTTTGGAAAATTACCTTTACAGAGCCGTTGTGACTTTAAAACACATCAAACACATCATGACAAATAAGTATTCCAAGATCCCTGTTGATATCTTTCGTATTTTAAATGAGTTATCAGAAATTCTAAGTTAAAATGGGAAATAACTCTTTCTTATTACCTTCAGGGTAACAACTCATGATCACCAAGTGTCTCAAGTTTAACATTGATATTATTCATAGTTTTGAAATCATTCAACTTAGCAAAAAAAGGAACATCACTCCAAATATATAGCTTTAGAGTAATACCCATTGTTTAGCAACTGCGCCATATCACTTCAAAGTTTCATGTTGATATATTCTATAGTTTGGGAATCATTCTACCTAATAAGCTATTTTAAATAAACAATTTTCATATTGATGATTGAGTAATGGGCTTCATTAAAGTTATTTTTTTACAACGACGACGACGCAGCTATCATAATAGCTCGATTTTTTTCAGGACAGACGGGCTAAAAGCGGACATAACTCCAAAAAAACGATGCTTTCAGAATGATGTCCCTTTGTCTTACAACTGCCTCTTGACATACTAAGCAAACATTCCATATTGATACCTTTACTGGCTTACATTAAAGCTTATATACATCGAACAATGCAGGCGACAACGCAGCGATTATAATGTCTCGACTTATTCTTCGAAACATAGGAGTTAAAAATAAAAAAGTGATTCAAAATTAACTTGGCTGAGATATTGAACCATTACTTAAATTGCGATAGTTGGCTTTTGTTAAGTTGGACACAAAAAGGATTTAATCTAATAATTTGATAAAATGCAGATAATGTTAACAAATAATAATTCAACAACAAGCTATACCATAAATCTTTAATAATTACAGGCATTTAAGTTCAAAATAAAACAATTATCTGCTGTACAGACATTAATGGCATTCGATTTTTTTAACATTATGTGCAACACATACATATATATATAGGAATAAATAATCGACTTTTGGGGTTTTCTCCAAGCAATTTAAACACAGCGACGTTGGCAGCCATTCGCAGGTTGACAACATCTCATTGGTTGCGTGCAATCACTTGATTCATAACATTCGTGGAAGCCAGTTCGGATACACGAAACCGGACAATTTCCTGTAAACAAATACAAGTGCTTTTTTTTTCGTATACATTCTAGACATGATAAACAAGTAAAACCATGCTTGATAAAAAAAAAGAGTAAACATCGTTATTAAGAGAACACATTTATATAGCCTATTTATTTACTTGTTTAAATTTTGCCGAAGTATCACACATTCAAAGAATGACTAAAATTCCTAAATTTCCTATTAAACGGGGTGCGCATGCGCGAAATAATCATTTAACGTACTTAAATATCGGATGAATAATATTTAATTATTTTCTTTGCTTATATAATATTATTTATGTATTATGTACGGTAAATAACAGAAACATGTCTTGATAAAAAATCACACCAGATCACATGGATATAAGTAAGGAAAAAAGTGACAGTTACATATTTTTTTAATTAAAGAATATTTTTGAGATTAGTTACAACTACACAATTGATTCAAAATTGTTGCATGAACGTTCATGATTTATAATTTGTACTTTATTATTCTAAACTAAAAAACAGCATTCAGATTATTTTAAAGAATGAAAAAATATTTTAGATTCGCAATTGAACTTTTACAAGAAATATATTTTTCCAAAGACGTCACAAATATAGATATTTTTTTCCAAAGAAGTCACAACTATAGATTTAACTACTCTATACAATTATATTTGACAAGATTATGGCCCTTAAAAGGCAATTAATTATAATGTTTATAAGTCATCAACAAGCTTAAACAGTGTTTAGACTTTGCTGTCATTCCAGACACATATTCATCGTAGATTATCTTGTTTATATAACCTAAGAAATCTTTGATTATATTTTGAAAAGTCGTATGCATAGTCAACAGGAAATTTTAATTACGACTTTTTTCCGAGTAATTTGTGTTTAGGTTTTAGTATCTCATGCGCATGCGTAGTAGACACGCTGAAAGGAAAGAAAGCAAATCACATGCGTTCTATGCATGCATCTAATTTGTCGTGACATTTCTAATGCTAAGTTTAAGTTTTTTTACAAACTTTACGGAATGACTACCCTCTAAAATAAGTTTTTTTTCACAAACTTTACGGAATGACTACCCTCTAAAATAAGTTTTTTCACGAACTTTACGGAATGACTACCCTCTAAAAACTTGACGGATGGACTACCTTCTAAAACGCAGCACCTCTAGAAAATGGCGCTCTAGAAGCTAACATTCTTCGTCTAGCTAAAGCTCTTCTCAGCATTTCCCGTCTTCTTGCCAGTAACTCAAGCGGAATTCTTCTGCCCGATCTGTCACCCATCATTGGCATACCACCAGGTCCTCCCATTGCTCCAGAGCCAAACCTTCCGCCTGCTGGCGGCATACCTGGCATACCTGGCATTCCCGGCATTCCCATCCCCCCTGGACCAAACCCACCCATTCCACCTGGCATGCCCGGCATTGCCGACATACCTGGTCTTCCAGGCAATCCAGGCGCAACACCTGCCGAGTCGCCTCTCATTCCTGTTAACGCTGGAATGCCTGTTCTTGCAATAGCCCCAGATCCTTGTCCCCTGGTTATACCCGGCATTCCCAGTCCTCTTCCTTCTGAGCCACGTGGACAGCATATACCCTCGCTACTACTTACAGGTACACACGCTTGTCCTGCACCACAGGATGTTGTTGCGGAACATCTGCCTATACCAGGTCCCCCGTCCGGACAAACGCCACCACCTCTACTCATACCAGACATCATATCCCCTCGACCCGCAGATGCCCCTGTAGAACCTGAAAACCCGCGTTCACTTCCACTTCTGCCGGAAGTACAACAGCCCCCTCTACCGGGACTGATCTCAAGACAGTCCTGACCCATTCCACAGGGCGTGGCTGCTGAACAACTTTGTACCGGAGGAAAACCATTGGGACATAAAACTCTTCTACCATCACCGTCACTGATACTACTTCCGGTCATTCCAAAGTCAGTTCCCAGCGAAGGAGCACCTTGGCCACTGTCTGGAAACTGGGAACCAGCACTAAGTGAAGTATCGGAACCAGTTGATCCGGAACTTCCGGTGATACGTCTGCGTGCAGCCTCAAATTCGTTTCTCATCGGACTGCTGTTTTCTAAAAATAGAATTCAGTTCAGTACACAGTATAGAATATAGAACTTCGCTTAAAGTGGTAAGCTGTATATACTCTTACAAGAAATATACATACTGTACGTAAGATATACAAACAAGTCGGACATTGATGATGTGCTTAGAATAAACCACTGTCTTAGTAATACACACATGAAACTCAAAATATAATAAAAATGTTTTTATACCATACACCATATACACATGTACCTTATTTTTTAAGTATTTGAAATTTGAGACCCCCCAAACCCCTCTTCCCCTCCCACGAAACAAAAGGCTGACTCTTACCACAGCCACGTCTGGTTATTTCCGGGCAGCACAGGCCCATTCCGATTCCTCCACCCAGAGCCCGGCATGAATGGCATGACCCAGGGCAAGCTTGAGCTGAATCCCCTGGCACACACTGTGCGAATGTGCCTCCCTCCATCAACGGGTCTTCACATGGTGCTATAAAAATAAAGTTTTAGATAATAAGTCATGTACATGTAAGCACAAGTAGCTACTCAAAAACCTTAGGGATTTCAATTTAAATTTATTTCTTATTAAAAACGGGCTTTTAAATGAATTCTTTATTATACAAGGTAAGGTATTATATTCAGCAATATTTGTTCATTTTATTGAACTTAATGGTGATTAAGTTTGGAGTTTTATGTAATTTACCAAGTCTAAATGCAGAAAAAAATAAAGCATCCCCCCTCCCAAATAAAAATAATAATAAAAAAAATAAATAAATAAAAAAAAATATAAAAATAACAAAAAATATAAATATTTGCAAAAAAAAAACAACAAAAAATATACAAACGAACAAAAAACAGTGTCGACAGCTTTTGAATTTGATTTAAAAATACACATGTAGTCGAATTATCAGTAGATCTATCACAGTTCTGTGAAGAAATCAGTCTAAAAATTCAGAACTGCAATACTTTCTACTTAAAGTTCGCACAATAATGAATAAGTCACTACATGTATACTTATTAGAATATATCATATCTGAACCTTTACATGCTTATAAAATATTTCACTTAAAAGCTTTACAGGTCTGTTCGTAAAACTTGATTAAACTTTAAACTCACTGACCCTTTTTAAAGCAGAACATTTAAACGAAAGCATAAAGTCTTAATTTAAATTTAAGTTCATCAATTAAACATTTTTTCTAACGTATTTTTTTCTATCAATTATATTCTGAAAGTACTAGAATAAAAAAGAAAGCAATGTAGCAGGACGAACAGGAACAGGATGGGAACAAGTAATGTAGGGCCGGGTACAAGCGGGATAGCGGAACAGGAAATAACACATCACCGGAAACGGAAACAAGTATAATGAATCAAACAAGAAACCAGCAGAATAGCAGACGAAAGGGACTGCCAAAATGGAAAATATAGATATTCAAGATTCCAGCTCGTCAAAAAAAGATATAATTGCTGACTTCGCATGTTGTCTACACGACATAATAGTTAACGTTCTGGTATTGTAACAATATTGCATTCGAGGGAGCACACATTTTTGTTTGTTCGGGGTAAAGGAAATGTTTACTTACACAATACGTTCTCTTCACCGGCTTCAAAATAATTTTTAAGGAAGAACAATTAAATAGAAAGATGGATAACAAATTTAATAAGTCAGTGTAGAAATAAACGAAAAGTATAATATTTATACGAAAAGTTGTTCGTATCATATAAATGTAAAAAAGATAATTTAGCAATGATGTCTTTCATTTAATTGGTTTGTCTTTCTTGTTGTTTTCTTTTATATACGTATGAACATATACATGTATATTGCTTTTGGTTTTTCCTAAACGCTGCAATCGGAACTCCTCGGCTAGTATTTATAATAGTCTTATCCGAATACAATCGGAACAACTCGGGCGACTTCAAGAATTCGCCTCGGATATAACACGGGATGCGCCATATTGACGGACTATATTCAAAATGGTTGATTTACGTATGCACGATGCCGAACCGAGACGTATTTAACGTTCTCGGCAGAAAGCATATATATTTTTTGATGAAATTTTGACAGAGCAGTTTCCAGTCTATAAGCAGAGGATTAAATTGGTTTGCCGCAAGTATTGGCATATTAAAGCAGGATTCTTTTCACAACTCTAAAAGGTATAATTTCTGGAGGTTATGTCCGAATGTATTGACACTTATCTTACTGTCTGCATGTTTGCAAATTAGAAGATAGTTCCTCCTAATTCTTATTTTTATAATTACATTATTATTCCCATTCTTATTTCTAAAATTACATTATTATTAAAGTATGTAGATGATAAATAAATGCGTAAGTTTATTATCAATTGATATAAATTAGAAAGAAAAACAGATTTTATTGAAGTGTTTAGATGTTAAATAAATGGGTAGGTTTATTATAAATTGATATAAATTAGAGAGAAAAATACTTTAATGAAGTATTCAGATGTTTAATTCAAGTTTCAATTTTGTTAGCATCATCAGCAACAATAAATTGGTAAGTTTATTATCAAAAATTAATATAAATCAGAATAAAAATATTTTATTGAAGTATTTAGATGTTTAATAAATTTGTAACTTTATTATCAATTGATATAATTTGAATTAGAATTTTTTTTAACATATAATAATATATATAATTGATCAATGATGATATTAGTTAATTATCCTGATTTTTTAATTAGATGTAATGTATACTTTTTAATGTGTTTAGTCATTGAAAATAGTTAATGAATAATTTACTTGATAGGATAATCATAATTAAGATATTATTTTTTTATTTTTTTTTTTAATAAATAAAAATGAAATTTATAGGCAAAAAATGATTAATAAATTTTAATTGCTAAACTTTTGATTAATGAAAAAAAGAGTTCAATACACACATGTATGCGTTAAGTTAATTGAGGTGTTTATTAATGCAAATACTCAAGAATCAAGGTGTTGATTAGATTAAAATAGCTGTGAAAAGGTGTTGATCAATAAGTATTATATTAGTTATTTGGTATTATACATGTATATTGTTTCAAGTTAATGACTACATGTTTTTAAATCAATTTCGTGAAAAAGTATATGTGGAATGTGTTTGCATACCAGTTGTTGTTTATTTATTTTCTAAAACATACTTGTTTCCACCTTATTCACTATTTATTAAACAAATAAATGAACATCACAAGCTAGACCTTAACATAGAACAGAACAGAGTTTATTTCATAACTTGTACACACATAGGTACATCTTATAACTAGCATTTTGAAATATAATTCTAGGTCACATATTAACATAATTACAGGTGTATATCAATCACTATCCAATGATCTATATCTCTCACAATAAAGGTGTTGATAGGATTAAAATACTGAAAAAAGGTGTTAAATTTACAAACACTTTTCAGCTGATAAACATAAAACATAAAATGCAGTTAATATCAAACACATTCTTTTAATAATCTTCATTAAGAAATATTATTAGATTAAGTCAAAACTAAAATGATAACTTATTAAAATAAAATTGGGGGAGAACTGTCTGCATATTTCAAATTTGGGAGAGAACCGTCAGGGGAGGAAACAGTTAGGGAGAGAACCGTCAGGGGGAGGAACTGGTAAGGGAGAGAATAGTCTGTCATTCGTATGTCAGCAACAAATGCTGAAGTTTTGGATATTCTATTGTTTACTCTGCAAATGATTATAGCTGGTATATGAGGTCGGGCATTGCTTTCTTGACCCTCAAATTTTAACGTCAACATTCTGTAAATAGACATTAAATTTTTACCATTTATGGAGGTTGAAATAAATTTATTTACTTGATTTTAGAAGAAACATGCATTTATTGTTGATTAATAAGTGACTGACAACCACTGAACAAAGAAAATACTAAATTAAGCATTTTCTGGGCCGTCCGGGTTTGATGGTTGTCCGGTATTGGTGGTCCCCGACCAGTACTGGTTTAGGAGATAACCCCGACACACACATAGATAAACCCGACACTTAGATAATTTAGTTGTTTTTAAATTTTATTTCCCAAAATCATGCACACTGGCACTTTTTTTATCATAGACAGTGTCTGTTGATCTTATCAAATTTTATAAACTAATGATGTGGTTATAAAACACGATAAACAAGATCAACAAGGAAAGGCGGTTAATATTAGACTAATTTAGTTTACACATACTGCTTAAAAACTTCTTTTTACTTAACTATTTTATAGGTAGTTAGCATTATCACCTTTTTTTCACAAATTGAACAGGCCAGGGACCTAGTATAATATATCAGACGTTACAGGCTTGTTATAGTTTATGTCAGTCAAGTCTTATGTCTAATAGTTATTGCTCATATCCGATACAAAATTCACAATTTGGATATCTTTTTCACAATTTCACTGTATTCATCATGTTAGGATAATGAAAAGCAACAAAAAATGGTCATATTGACTGTTAACATAATCTTCCCTTTTTTATCACAGTTAAGTACTCATTTAATGATTATGAATCATCTCAATGTCAATTTGTTGATATCACATCAGAGTTTTTTTGTTTTCGTTTTATTTTCAAAACAACCTGCGGCTTTCTGAAGAGAAAAATAGATATGTTGCAAATCTGAAATCAAATTCCAACAACTATGAATGGAATTTAACTACACATTTAATTAAATTATTAATTCAATTTAACATAAATGGTACAAAGCATAAGTTATCTATAACAACAACTTTATGTCTTTCAGTCATTTAATTTTATCAATCATATAAGCTATCTGCTGTTAAGCCATTGTTCTGGTGAAGAATGTGCACAGGGCATTTCAGTTGAAAAATATCATTTTGAGGGGGAAATGTCTGTTTTTTTTGGCTGTAAAATATAGGAAAATAATCACTGCACATAAGTATTAAAGGTAGTAAACAAATACCAGCCAAAAATACTTTAATTATATCTATTTTATTATTCTAATAATTAAATTATTTTGTCTGTAAATTTGTAGAAACATTATTAGTTTTCTATAAAGATTGTGGCTGATACTATGTCTCCTATAGTTTAATTGGTAAAACACCTCTGGTTTATTGATAAATCATGCAAACTAAGAGGAGTTCTGAGTTCAAATCTCAGTAGGAGCAAGGATATTGGCTATAAAATCAAATCTGTTAAAGGATAAACATAGATAAATGTTAAATTTTCAGATTACCTTTAGACCAATGTTTTAATAAACTTCAGAAATAATTGCTAGTAAAATTTTGCTATGTGAACTACCATATTTGGAATATTTATTGATTAATTAATTTATTTATTTAAGATATAATATTGTTTTAGTACATGTTCATAGTGTTAAAGATCTTAAAAAATATATTAAGAATGTGGAGTGAGTAATAGGGAATTGATGATCACAGAATTTTATTTTATATGGGGAAGTCAAGGGCCTTTGGGCTTTGGCTTGTCCATCTATAGACTAAACATTTATATTTAAAAGGAAATCAAATAAAAAACAATTAAAAAATATATAAAAATTTCTATCAATGAAATTTTCAGTGTCAGTTATAATAGGGTGCCACAACATTTACTGTAACTCAATGATAATAAGCTGGGTATTCCGATAATGGAACAATTGCATATTATTTTTAGCTATTAAGATCTTTTCAACCCTTAAATAAAGAAAAACTTATTTGGAAACTCATCACTTACTGCTGTAAAATAGCGTACTTGATTTGATTGTTTTGCACGTGCTGTTTGGCGCTACATTGTGACGTCACGTAAACAATACTTTAAACGTCTGTACAGCGTTAACGACTGTATAAAAGATATTGGTGTTCGGATTCATTTTCTTAGTTAGACCATTTTCTTTCATTCTAAATAGTTTTCACAACAAAATTCGACAAAAAAATGTTTTTATTTATCAGATTTCAAACAAAATGGCGCCTTCGATTTTCATTTTTTATACACAGCTTCCGTTATTCTGGTTCCCTGTCCAATTATGGTTCCCATAGACGTGCGCGGGTGACCAGTCTACACATCCGTTTTCAGTCAGAATTCCTCAGTTTTTATCGTTATCTTTAAATTCGAAAGGTTGCGATGTGTCCAATTCGGTACTTTGGACGAAAGATTTCAAAACCATCACTTGGCAGGTACTCGCGTTACCGTAAAGCTCGCTTTGCGAGCAGGCCCTTCGGGCCAGCTCGTCGAGCTCGCTAATATGAAAAAGGCAAAGCCTCAAAGCGAGCTCGATGAACTTTTTACGTGAAATAGTATGAAATAATCTCAAATGCGAGTTTGCCACACGTACTGTGTTAAATATGGCCCCGTCCCTGTCGTGAAATGAATTACGAGTTTTGAAAACGTTGATAAAACTTTGTTTATTTTATTTCACTCTTTAATTTTTCAAGCGAAATAAAGATTATTGTAAGTGAAATAAATGTAAAACTTAACACGTTTGCGACATTAAAATAGCGTACTTGATTTGTTTGTTTTGCACGTGCTGTTTGGCGCTACATTGTGACGTCATGTAAACAATATTTTAAACGTCTGTACAGCGTTAACGACTGAATATAAGATATTGGTGTTCGGATTCATTTTCTTAGTTAGACCATTTTCTTTCATTCTAGATAGTTTTCACAACAAAATTCGACAAAAAATTGTTTTTATTTATCAGATTTCAAACAAAATGGCGCCTTCGATTTTCATTTTTTTATACACAGCTTACGTTATTCTGGTTCCTTGTCCAATTATGGTTCCCATAGACGTGCGCGGGTGACCAGTCTACACATCCGTTTTCAGTCAGAATTCCTCAGTTTTTACCGTTATCTTTAAATTCGAAAGGTTGCGATGTGTCCAATTCGGTACTTTGGACGAAAGTTTTCAAAACCATCACTTAGCAGGTACTCGCGTTACCGTAAAGCTCGCTTTGCGAGCAGGCCCTTCGGGCCAGCTCGTCGAGCTCGCTATAAAGAAGATATTTTTTTGTCAAAAAAATAGTGAATTTTCCCTTAAAAAATAATTATTAAAATAATAATTTATATGAGTTCTGAGAGAATAATCAGCTATAAGTCTATATTTATTCATTTTTGTTGTTGTCAAAAAATTAAATACCATAAAAAACATGGATTAATTAAAATATGTTTTTATATTTATAAGAACAATTAGAAGTGTGAAAGAATTTGTTAAACACTGGTTAATTAATCAGTTAATAAGCACCTTTATAAGTGTGTTACTTATACTTCACTGTTTGTGCGATCATTTTCTTATAGTTTGATGTTGTTTTTTCTTATATGGATATGGATAAATAAATTGTGTCTAGTGCCTGTGAACTAGTGATGGTGCATGTTTATATTTTTTTCTGTTGCACAGAGGAGCATCCGAGTTCTCGAATGAATACTCATAGAGATCTATATCTATTGTATAATTGATGTATAATTCATGTTAAAGACCTGCTTTTAATACCGGACTCATGTTCTCTTGCGCTTTTACTTGTTCATGATTTAAATTTAAATCTTTTTTTCATTTCTTTCAACGCATATAACAAACAGCTGAGAGAACTCCGCCATCTTTGTTTACATCAATAATTAAAATCGGTGCTTCGCCGGGCCGTATAACAATTTGGTGTATTCCTACACTTACATACGAGGTCAATCTCCGAACTTGACGGAGATTGCCGAGTTGTTACGATTGATCCGAATATTGACGGAAAGGGCCGAGAAGATGCGATTGCCAAACACTGCCGTGTCAATGCAGACACAGTTTACCAGGAACAGGAAGACATAAAACTTGTGTTCTTGTTGGTTAATTTGACACCTTTACAACTTGCTACATAGAACACATGTGTTTAAATACCAACTAACATATCCAAAACATGGCGTAACAATACCTGTCATCATAAAAGTGTGCGTCCTTTGATAAATTTTGCGGTTTTAAGTAACTCAAGTAAAATATTTTTAACTATTTGACTATTATGACATAAAAAATCTTTAATTTACAAGCGTACATGTGTTTTTGTGTAAGATCTATCAAATGTTGACATAACTTTACAAAATTGACACAAAAAATAAACAAACAAAAGTCTGCCATTATATTAATATATTATATCACAACTTATAAAATATAACCACGCATTTGCAAAACGTGATGTTCCAGTATCCAATCTTATCAATTTAGCCCCGTTTTCATTGAGAGTCCAAAGGGTTTAAAACTTTAAATTAATATTGCATCCTGTCTAGCCTCGTTTTCATATTTAGAGTAAAAATATCTTCATCAGATGTATAATATACTCCATCTAGCCTCATTTTTATTTTTGAGAGTTCAAAAATCGTTATCAAATCCATATTGCAGTTGAGGCAAAATGTAAAATTATGTTTTGTGAAATAAAGAATTCATTAAACATGGTTAAGAACAATACTGTTTCTATTGGACTCGCACACAGCTACAAAACCTATATCAGACCTGGCTAGCACCTCGTCCAATATCGTTTTGACAGCTGTGTACTCGTCCAATATAATTCAATATTGTACTAGACAATGAATAATAACCTCATATTATTATGGATTTCAGTAGTTTAAGGTACATGTACGACCTTAAACTGAAAGTCACGTGATAATGCTTCCTGAAATCAATTTACACTATGTCCTTATATTTGGGGACAAACAGCGACACTGTCCTAAATCGGAAGATGTACCTACATGCAATTTATAAAAATTAAATCGGAATTTGTGTGTGTGTTCAGACAAGTCGTCAGAAGTCGTAAGTTTTCGACCATTCCCGTCAAACTTCGGATATGGACTAACTGGTAATGGTCGGTGTGTTCTGAATGCAATTTAAACTCCAGTCACACTAGAGCTTACGATTAGTGAAGACCAGTTCACGATCACCAGTGACCTCTGGTCGCGGACAATCTTTTAAACGTCTTACGACGGTCATCGGTGATCTTTGACAGTCTCAGGTTATCTTATTTAGGTCACAAAAACCTCCTTGCGATCAAACAGGTCGCTAGTGATCTTATAAGGTCTTAAGGCTGTCGCACGATGGTCGTTCGGAAGTGCGACAATCTTACGACAGTCTTTACAAATTGCCACTAGTCACTGATAATCTTAAGTAGTCTTTAGTAATCGTGTGATGGTCGTACGACAAGTTGTAGATGATCGCATGTTATGTCACGGGTAGTCGTAAGTAATCCCAGGCAATCTTGAGACCATCGTACGTTTACTTATGACCTGTCGTGCGATTGTCAATGATGACTTGTCTTACGATACTAGCAAAAGTAAATTTATTTGAGCAAAAATGGTTTTGGTCGCAGACAATCGCTGATGATCGTCAGTTTTACAAGTCGCCGGTGGTCGCAAATAATCGTAAGCTCTAGTGTGACTGGGGTTTAACGCAAAACACTGAGAAATAGAAAGCGGCATGGCTACTCCCAGATATGCCTTTAAGTATTTGCGTACTTCCTGGAAGCTTGCTCATTTTCATAGACTGATAATGATTTTTAACGGGTAACTGTCGGCTGATTGATCACATCTGTTTTATTTTTAAAACACCAAACGGTCCAAAATTTAAAGCGGGTAAATCCATAAAAGAATTTCAGCGTTGTAAAATTAAAAGATAAAGGAAAATCAAAGCTTTGACTTTCATTCCAAAATATTTTCATTTCCGGTTTAAATTACTTCAAATTAATTATAATTTTGCGTCAGTATCTTTGAAATATAGCATATCTTTTCCTATATAAAACAAGTGCAAACTCATTATGACCAAATGAGGCTGTTTAAAATGAACTACGATATATATTTTAAAATAAGTTTTAAATGAATTATTTTCATGATAGAAAACGATGTTGTTTTCGAATTACATAACTTTTCAATTACCCCATGTCCCGCACGTGATTCGCTTCGATCGTGATTGATTATTAACTAGTACATGTACATGTTTTTGTTCAAAATAGATAATTGAAAAATGTGGTCCAATGATTAATTACCAATGTTTAAATTTTACATTAAAGTGGCACGCCTTCACATGTGTTAAAGATATCATCAAAACAAAGACATATAAGTAGATATATAAAGAAATACATGAATAATCATTATTCAGATAAAATTTTAAATACATTATGAAAAAAATGGTAGAATTTGAAATCTTTGATCACAAAAATAATATCCCGTTACTAACGGAAAACGGCAAAATCTGCACATTTTAACAAGAGGTAATTTCTTCAGAAGTGGGTATGTACACCAAGCAAGAGATTACATCACTAAATTTTTCAGCTTGACAATATGTTCAGTTATTAGAACAATATTTTTTTTTAATTTTTCATTTTTACATGAACAAAAATCTGTCGGCGTACAGCTTTAAATAACGTCTTGAACGATCAACTAAAAGATTATAAATTTCTTGTCTACTTGTTTTCTTTTATTCATTTTTTATGTACACAGACATTTATTGAAAACTATGAAATTCTTCCTGAATATGTCCAATTTGAATAACAAAAAATAATGCACAAGCTATGAATGAGAAGCTTATTCCCTATTTTGAGTCAAGTAAAGTTACTTCCTTCCAGGATATTTTAATGAACATGACCGTATAGCCTCATATGGATTAAAACATCAAATATCTACAATGTGTGAAGTCAAAACTTGTTTATTTTATATATACAAAAAGACTTGTAGCTGTTATTTATATAAAATTTAAGCACAGTGCTAGTATATCTTTCATTTTTACTGCAGATTTATGCATATTTTTCTTATAAAAGGTAATAAAACCATGCAATTGTCAAAATATGGTACTCGTAACTCTCATTTCCAGAATTATCTTTTACCTCATATCGTTCATGTATGATCGCAAGTATTGTGATCTATTCCTTGGACAGTAATACTATGGCGTGGCGAAATGACAAACGTACGAAAACCCGACATGCTTGACCGTGTCGTAGTTAATATTTTCGTACTTTCATTTTTTCGCACCGCTTCATACACAGAGAACTGTTTAATGAACCAATCAACCATTATTCGCAAGTATATTCATGTCAATAACATTTGTAACATAAAAGGGGCACACGATTGTCTTAAAAATTGAATCATTTTTGTGGGGAAAGTGCTACGTTCATAATACATTAATTGTAACACTGTTGGCTCAGGAAAACTATGTATATCTATTTCACTTACACTGAACGGGGGTAGAACTTTCCCAGCAGCAGAATGATCCTGACGGAGTTCCGTCTCTCATACAAGTGGAACCTGACGGACAGTCGGCCACGTCCGAGCCCCGACCGTAGCATCTAAACCCATCAATTCTACGGTCACGTGGGCATTCTCCTACAGCTGGAACCGCGCCACCACCACCACCGCCGCCGCCGCCGCCAAACCCGCTACCACCTCCAAACTGGCCCCCGGACCCGAACCCATCTCCTCTTCCCTGAACCGTTGCACCAGTGCCACTGGGACCGCCTCTGAACCCGTCACGTCCAGGTTGTGAAAATCCATCCCCAAATCTCTGACCTTGTGAAACACTTTCTAAAATTTAGCAAAGCATTCTGTTTGAAACATTTGTGTTTTAACAATTAAACTTATAAAAAAACTTTCTTAAATATAAAAAGACATCCTTTGTATAGAAGACGTCGTTCTCGTGAAAAAAAAAATCTTTGAATATACAATGAAATAGAGAAAGCTTTAGATTTAAAACAGGAACTCTTGAATTAGTCAATAAAGAATCCTTCGAAAACAATTATCATATGTTTATCAAACGAAAGATTATATCATAGGAAAGACGGGTATCCAAATTTATATGCAAATCAAGTTTCTATTACATTTAAATTTAATCAAAGTACAAAAAGTACAGATGGGCGTGTTTTTTGTTTCGCTCACAATATAACGTCATATAAGTCTGTCTTTAAGTTTTTTTTTTAAACAATGCTATGAATCTTATTAGTAAGGGAAAATTTCGTGTAAAGTCACTATAAATGTGTAATTTTTGTGAATAATAGCCATTAATTGTATTGAAACTTATCATATTTCTTTCATGTTATGCACAATAATTATTTTTGTTCATACGCATCTACTTTAAAACAAATTGGGAACGAAGTAAATCGTTTTGCAAAAATGATCACATGACTGCAACGTCTGTAATGAAGTAAAATTAAAATAACAAATGGATAAAAAACAGATTAAAATTTGATTAATATTTCATTGAAATACAAAATGTATTGCATATTATAACCTTTAATTACATAAATTTATAAATTAAAACATAAAACCATTATACGCAATTTTCATCCACAACACTGAGAATTAACTTCCAATACCAAAATACATGAAATTTAAAGATTATAAATTAAAACTGACTTTATATATCAAGATAGAATAATAAAGTATAGTATCAGAAAAAAAATGACTGCGTCTGAAGAATTATACTAAAAAGGAGCATAAAATATGAACAATTTTGTTTTTAGTACAAAAAAAACTAATAAATACAATTCATGTTCATATAAAGAATTGTATACATGTCATTCAGCAAACGAGATCAAGTCTTGACCCGTAAATAAATAGATATTTGCTTCTTTTACACAATCATATCAAATGCGCGTTTGTATCAAAACGTTACCAGAAAATTACCAACAAGCAATACTCAGAAAAAAAGTAAGAAATAGATTAATTTTGTATACTTTACCGCATATTAATAAGGAAAACAGTATTCCTGCGAGTAAGCACATTTTTTGAATTATATATGTAAATAAAGCACTCGTTATTATGAAGACATTAAACCGTCAATAACATAACAATCACGAAATTAAAGCTGTAATTAAGAGATCGTAAAAACCGTCATTGTGTACGTATGACAAACGTTTGACGTTTTTCGGCCAGCGGCAATTTTGACATCGTGCTCTTCAAGATTGATTAGCAACGTTTTTTTTGTTTTTTTAAAAATAGAGATATTTTTTTTGTTATTTCAAAGAAGATTCGAACATTTATTTATCATTTTGAAATTAGATAATGTGTGGTTGTTTTTCCCCGTGGGTCTTAAGTCATGAAAGATATATAAGTCACATCGTCACTGTGACTTTTAAGCTTTAATGGTGAAGAAAGACAATAAGTGTTCTTTCGCGCAGGCATTATATTGGGCACGAGCGGGCCCAGGAAAAGAATAAGCTAGCCGGAGGTCTCCGTTTTACGGCAATATTAGTCATATGGCGCTAGCCCAAGAAACAAGGTCACATAATGCTCGCATGACATAAGCACTAGATCGCGCAGCGATTTCTTCTGCTAGTATGTAATTTGCAGATCACATTATCACATACCAGTTTATCTAATTTTGCTGCAGTTTGGCCAGAGCTATTGCTTGAAAGTTCAAATTAACAGAAATATTAATCACACAATGCTCGCATAGCACAAGCTCTTGCACGCACAGCGATTGCTTCTGTAAGTAGATGACATTTTCATAAAATAATACCTTTTCACTGGGCTCAACATTACACATTCATTTGTCCGATTTTGTTGCTGACTGATCCGTGCAATTGTTCGGACGCTTTTTCGTTGAGGAAATAAAATGCGCGTGCTGATCATCTAAGAAACAATGTCGTAAAATGCCCGTAAATAGATAAAGAAGTTTAACTTTCAAAATACTAGCCAGTTTGGCCATTAGTATAAACAGTAAACTCTACTTATAGCGATATCTCTTATAACGATATATCGCTTATAACGATATACCGCTTATAACGATATACCGCTTAAAACGATGATGTTGTCGCGGTCCCGTTTCAATTTTATGCCTCTCGGATATAACGATATCAGGATATAACGATATTCCCCTGAATATCGTTATAAGCGGAGATAAACTGTATATGTGAAATAAATTCAGACAGAAAGCTACGCTTCGTATACAGAGGTTGCTATTGTAAAATCAGGAACTTTTGCGAATGATCATATTTCTCAAATTTCGCGAATGGAAGATTTTCGCGAAGATTAATGTTCGGAATTGAAAGTAGAAATTTGCGAATATTTAGCCTTGCATATTAGTCAAAAATATTGATTTGACGAAATTTTGACCTCGTGGAAATAACTGATTTTACAGTATGCTATGGAGATAATTATGTCAGTTGAACATATAAGATGATTCTATATAAAATCATTAATGTTATCTTTTTCATTAAAGTTTAATAAGTTGCTTTGTGAACACAATGTTAACAATATTTAAATGTTATAAAACTCAATTTTGCTTTTTTAGACAATGAAAAATGTATTTGTTTCTAAGGCCTAAAATGTACCTTTTAAGTACAATACATGTGAAATACATGTGCTTTAAAAAATTGAGCATTGTAAAGTTATGATTTTTTGACAGTGCACTTTGGGGAGCATTTAAATCACCAAAAGATACACAAATATCTCGTGTCCACTTTGACATATCAAGTTCCTGAGCTCGAATATTAGTAATCTACCGCATCTGGGCATACTTAATGCTTATCACTTGAAAAAAGAAGCACTGAATGTGACATTATTTGTCAAAAAAGTAGCAAAATGTAAACAAAGTAGTATTTTGACTTCCATATAAAATACTTAATCACTAGGTTGGGGTCTGATTATTTCCAAAATGTATACATTTTGAGTATAATAAATTATATTGAACAAATTATATTTGTCAATCTTTAAAAAAAATCTTTAGAATTCCATAATAATGACACTCCTATCACAATAGTGATGCTTTTAAAGTCCTATGCATGCTTTTTTTCTACTATCGAATGAAATTAAGGGAGGTAATTTTGCAGCCGATTAGATTTAGGATGAAAACAGCATTGCTTCCCTTTGCATTGTTGTCTTACCATGTATTTCGTCGAAAATATAACATGCTTTAAGGTTTAAAAGTAGGACAGTAACTAGATTTGTTCAGCAATACCGAAAAGCATAACTTGCTTACATAATGTTTTCTAGAATATATGTTTTAGCGTAGACATGCCGCATCGTTTTGTTTAGTTCTTGTACTGTTCGGTTTTAAGTCACATCAACTTTGTAAAGGTCATAATAATGGCATTTTCACAGTTTTACTGGTGGAGGAAAACCTCAGGTACCCATTCGTGCATTAATTGATTTTCAGGCACGAGCGGGCACCTAAATAGAACCACTGGCTTTCAGACAGCTTCCACGCATGAAAAAAAAAACAAACAAATTTTGCTTCGTAAAATCTTATTGTAGTGTTCGAGGTATAAGTAAGTATTAAGAAAACGCCGGCATGTTGCATAAAGGTGTAAGGATCTTATTTGCGGCGGTCAACAGCAGCAGCAGCAGCAGCAACAACAACAACAACAACCACAAATTTACTGAATGGAAAATAGAAGACATATTTTATAAATGTGTTTAAAATAATTCAATGAACTTATGAACGATATATTTATCTTGGTCCAACTTGGGTATGTCCCTAGTTAAGCAAAACACGGCCCTTTGTCCCTTTTCTAGATTCTTTTCTTCATAATCTTCAAATCATATTCAAACAAATCTATAACACACAAAAGATTGGACGTGCTGGTGAATTTAATGATCCATACACTCAAAAGAAAGCCAAAAAGAAAGAGTGCACTTTAAAAACAAAACTAATGTAGTTTCTGAATGTTGAAACGAAAATGTTTGCTAAATATGTAATAATTGATTGTGAGCCGCGTCACGACAAAACCAACATAGTGCGTTTGCGACCAGAATGGATCCAGACCAGCCTGCACATCCGCGCAGTCTTATCAGGATCCATGCTGTTCGCTATCAGTTTCTCTTCTTGTAATAGGGTTGGTAAGCGAACAGCATGGATCCTGATCAGTCTGCGCGATTTTGTCAAGGCACGGCTCATTGTATCTTTAAAAGCGCACACTCTCTTTTGGAACTTCGCGTACTGCAAAATAAATGTCTTTTTTAAGATACAATGTATATTAATTTAGTTAAGTCTTTGTACTTACCGACATGCAGCAGTCATAAATTGTATACACTTACATCTATAGTAACATTACATTTCACAACCATATCAATGCCATGCGTTGCTCGAGTCAGAAATGGATCGATTGCACGTGCAAAGTTTTCTATACTCATTGAAAATAATAACGGTATAACAAAATAGATTGCCAAAATACTGAACAACATAGGGTACCGTAATGCACGTGAAAATCGTGAACCCTCTGTGTACAATTTGCAGCCTTTTCGTCAATATTTTTTGTTTGTTTTGTCATTAATTTCAATGTAACAGTTACTTACAAGAGCAACCCACGAGGCGTCAACGCTCCCTGGTAAAGGCAACGCCTATCAATAACATTTTTTTTTTAATATTCTCAAAATGATTGACACAGACACGCGCTTAAATATTCACCATGAAAATACAATAAAAATAAAACCTTACATTGTTATAATTTGAGGAAAACAAAGACAATTGTCACTAACGTTTTAACTTTATGTCAATTTTTAACAGATTAAAGAAAAATCTACAGAAATAGCGGATTGCGGTTAACCGCGTTTTACCGCGTGTTAGGGCTTGATTACAAACTTCTACAGCGGTAAGACCAAACCCTGAAAAGGGGAAAACAGAGTTATTGTGTTATTGTAAAGTGAGACAAGACATATTTATCAAACCAAATTAGCGGATGACACAGCACAAAAATTTAATGGAGCATATTTTCTTATAAATTTACGAGCTATCGGTCAAACGAGCACATTTCTACATTTATAACAAAACGTGTTTTGTTTATAACTTTACATATTGTTTTTTTAACTGTCAGGAGTATGTATATATCTAAGCAATTAAATCTAAAGATTTTTAGCGCTGTCCTATGTGGTATCATACTAGTATTATTGTTTTCAACTCAGAATGTAGACTCTAGGTGTAGGTATAAGTAAATATATAAACTAGGGCATGTTTTGTTAATACAGACATTTATGTAGAGTATAAAGTTATACATGCATTTGACAAATTCTTTACCGAATGTCTCGTTATTAGTTCGCGGTAATTAAAGAATATTTATATGACAATTAGCAATATCATTTCGGACGCACATTGCACATTTTATACATACTTTTGTGACAGAGATTTCGTAAAGAGATGTCTTGCTATTTAGAGGTCCATATTCGTGAAAAGATATATTTTTCTCTCAATTCAGGATAACATTTTCCCGCATTTCCCATCCAACTCCGGATATGAACGATAATTGGTAATCAACGAGGTATTCCTAATGATCGTGTTTAACTTTCATTCACTTCCGGTTAATTTCAGGCTATTTGCTATCCCTTTCCCGGTAGTTGCCGGACATGACTTTTACAAAAGAACATAATTATGAAGAATATTGAATTGAATTAGTGTTTGAAACCAACTGAGCAAAGTGGATAGGTAGTCTGAGCATTGTTTTATTACTTATCTTATTCCTGTAGGAGCCGGAAGTGATCCGACTTTACCACGAGTAATGAGCAAGACCAGCCCGCACATTCGCGTAGTCTAAACCAGGCTTCATACCCAATAACATCTTCTCGGCCCTTTCCGTCAAACACCGGACAAGTTATCATTCATATTAACCGAGATGTTCCAATTGGCACTATAGCGTTGGAAACTCATTTTTTCTATTTTCTATATTGAAATCCCTTAAATTTTGAATGGACTGTCATAAATTCAAAGCAGGGCAAATCTATTTCAAAACTTTAGAAGAACAATGATGATATTTCTGCGTGGAAATAACGTAGGTAATAGATATACCATTGCTGCGTTGACGATTTCTGGGTTTGCGTAAATTATACCATAATCACGTGACCTTTCTTATGCCTTAACCTCACGAGACGAAGTCGAGTGAGGTTGCATAAAAAACCCAGAAATCGTCAACGCATCAATGGTGTATCTGT